TAGAGCGTCTCAGACACAGGCCCGCGTCGTCCAATAACGCTCGCTTTTTAGACATCTCTTTTTAATTCTCTTTGTACTCACCCCTTTTGCGATAAGCGCCCGAGAGCGCTACAAGGCCCGCGCCGTCGTTATTGAAGCCTCCCGACGCGAGGGATTAAGCCCGGCTCAGTCTCGGGCAGGCGCTTGCCGTCCGGATATTCTGTATCTTCTTGGTTGCTTCTCTTCCCGTCTCGTCGACCCTTTGTCGGCGCGGCCGTTAAGTAGACGAGCAATCACGGCGGACCAGCGTGCTACACTTCAGCGCCGGGACCCACGGCTCGACGATGACGCAGTCGCCTATCGAACGTACACACACTTTTCGTTATATTAAGAGGGCCGTATACGCTGCCGAGCAGCTTTTGGCGCCATTGTGCGAGGGCCGAGATTACGCAAGCCGCGCAGTGCGTGCGGGTGTAGGTGCTCCACCCGGGTGTAGGTGCTCCACCTGGGTGTAGGTGCTCCACCTGGGTGTAGGTGCTCCACCCGGGTGTAGGTGCTCCACCCGGGTGTAGGTGCTCCACCCGGGTGTCGTGTTTTACAGAGGAAGCTTAAGTTTGCCGTTTATGCGCAGTTAATTGAGAAACGGCGCGTGGGACAAGGGTAACAAGGAATGAGGGATTTAGGGAGAAATAAGTTTGCTCGAATGTCATTTGTATTCTGGTGCTCGGTATGTCACAGCGCAAAAAGAAAAGGGGGGAGGGACACGGGCCTGGTGTGCCACCTCAGGTCTGCGACGCTGGAAGTAATGCTACAAACAAATCGTTGACTTACAACATTCTCTATTTACACCAACCAAGGTCAACCAGATAGGGAATCAGGCACACGAAAGAATAGGGGACATCACCCACCTTGGTTTCTCGGATTGTTGCGAAAGCCCGCGTGTACAGTGTCAATTTTCATGAAAGGGAACACGTGGGCGCGTGGCCTGCGCGCTCCGGTGGCTGCTGGCAGCGCGTTCAAGCGGGAGCGATAGCAACCACAGTCTCTTTACGCGTCATCTCGCGGCGAGCAAAACAACCATTCGTTTCTAATATGGAACCAGCGGCAAAGTGCGACCCCCTCCCTCTTCAAAGCGATTACGCGAGAGTCGGTAATCGCCTCGAAGGGGGAGGGGTTGCAATCTTGCCGTTCTATGTCAGCTACGAATCACTGTCTTCCTCGCCGCGAGATGACGCGAAAAGAGACTGTGGTTGCCCTCGCTCCCGCTTGAACGCGCTGCCGGCAGCCAACGGAGCGCGCAGGCCACGCGCCCCCGTGTTCCCTTTCATAAACATTGACACTGTACAAAAATGCGCACGTTAGGACGACATTGGGAACTGCTTGGCAGACCGACGAAGGAATGTATCACGTTGTTTTATAGTCCGACGTCGACGAGCTTTCGCATCAATGATTTTGCCTTTACAGCCCCCCCCCCCCCCCTTATGCATGTCTAAGTGGACGAGGAATCAATTTCAAAGAGAGTTACCAATCGATTAACATCTATTAATTGATTGATTTATCAGTGCCAGCATTCTTCTCGATAAATTCGCTTGGCAGTTAATTACCCATTTTTCCGTTGTTTTTAGTCGATCGACCTCACACAAACTAGCTTTAACCCTGCATCAGATTCTAATATCTGCGAATGATTATTATCTGGGCCAGGCAAATCAGCGCCGTGGTCGCGTTCGGTCCCGGTCACGTGTCCGGAAATGACGAGTGTATGGTTCTGCGGTGCAATCTCAATTAACGCGAGAAATAAGTTATATTACGTTCATTACGCTTCTCGCGCTTAGATAAGAGCCTTATCTAGAATGTTATCTAGGATAGAATATTATAATAAGCGTAGCAATAGTTATTCATTGAGTGTAGTGAGACCGTTAACGCTGAAGTTGGAAGCGAGCTCATATGTCTAGCGGCAAAACTTTATCGACGACGTGTGTACCGCGGCCCGAGGCACGGCCGACCACAGCGTACATTCTTCACGGGATCGGCATTATGTAAACGCATGCTTTAAGGAAAATTCACCGAGTCCCTCAACAAGCGTGGCCGCTGCTACAGCCAATTAGATTTAAGCGTATAGCCACTTGTTCTCCGAGGAAATCAGGCATCGATTCAAGCTTGCCGAAATCGACCATTCATTTAGGCTCTCGCAGACGATGGTGAGCGGCTAGTTATGCAGGAGATGCTGGCTAATTTGTAACCTGTCTATTTCGAACAATCTAGGAGAGGTGTAACCAGTTTGGTCAGATCAATTAAAGCCTTTTCATCGACCCAAGCCACGAAGCTTTGCTAACGAGTGCAGTGGTCTTCTCGAAGACCGATGCCTGAGGGACGGCGTTGAAATTAGGGGATGTTTTCCCACGTTCTACGTTGCTATTTAACCTAATTTGATAACACCAACCTACGCTGATGAGATTTCTGCATCGTGGTCATCCTATTAACACGAGTCAACACTGGTTTACACTGATTAACATATTCTTTTTTTAGAACTGTCTTGTTGCCTAAGCAAGGGTTCGTGGTTCCTTCGAATTGTCGCCTATGAAAGTTTATCTGTTAGGCCTCCCACATAATGTATAGGGCCTTCTCTATGCATGTATAGTTCTAAGTTCAAAGCCGGGCATCGACATGTCGCGTAGCAGTTTGAGCTAACGAGCTTGCCCATAGCAACGAATGTGTTGTCCCGACGGGTGTCAGTCGCGGGAAGGTGATTGCCTCAAGGATAACTTATTGGACAACGAAGATCAAGATATCCAATATTATTGGCAGCTTGAAAGATATTAAAGAAGATAATGAGAATTGCGAAGGAAACGCATATTTTAAAGGGCGCCTGAAGAACTCAGAGTTCAAAGACGAGACAGCAGTTTCTTTTTCGCCTTGACTGCCCTCCCTTCTACAGCCACGACCTCCTGCTGGCCAGACATTTCTCCGTAAATTACGTGGGCAATCTGAGCTCCAAGCATTGAGCCTATCGACATCTCGCGCATTTCTTCTGCATGACAATACTTTTTTTCTCTCTTTTTCTCTTCTCCCTCTCTCTCATCTTTATGCCCCCTTCCATTTCCCCAGCGTAGGGTAGCAAACCGGGCATGTGCCTGGTTAACCTCCCTGCCTTCTCTCTTATTGTTCTTGTCCTCCCTCCACACAGAACGCACAAGATGAACTGAAATCCTTTGATCGCACGCTACAGTCGTGCTAGACAAGGCAGAGTCTCTACGTGGCTGGCTGCACGGAGGAGCGGTGCAGGAGACGACTCACAACTGACATAATCCGCATATGAGCCAATCAAGAGTTTATATCCGCTTGACGTCACGTCAACAGACCGCTGACGTCACAAATTGTGCCGGAAAGACGGAAGAAGCGGAGATAGAACAAAGAGTTTTTTTTTGTTTTCTCGGAGGTTACAAAGGGCCCTTTAAGGCTCGACACCCTAACAATACTGAAAAAGAATCAGACTGACCTGGTGCTGGTCACCGCACAGCCACACTTTATCATTCGCCGCTACCAAGTTCTTGCCCCTGCATACCACTGACTTCTTCTGACAGATTGATAGTTCTCTTCTTAATTTCGGAAACCTGCTTTATTTAGCCATTCAATGGGTAACGTGTTCTAGGCTACGCTATAATCTAATTTAGCCGGGTACAGTGGCAACGGGGAGAGAGGGGGGAGAGGTGCCTTTGATTGCAAGCGACTTGATTGATGATTCGCAAAAAGGCGCTGAATACGTTGTCTCCTATAGAAACGCATTCACAACGCGGTTTCACGAAAGACCTCCTAATAAGGCAGACAGCATACACGGATGCGAAACAACAAGTACAGCCTACACTAGCAACGAACGAGTTCCCGTGTTTGCCGCTGCAGACTCGAAGAGAAGAAAAGACATTGCACCAAGTAGGAAGCAATGGCGAAACATGCGCAACAAAACTACGCGCTCCAGGTAGCGCGGAGACAAGGATCTATAGTGGAGGCGGAACGTGTACGTGTCAAAGGATACATTGTAGTCGCAGACACCGCGCCTTGCTCTGTTTTACCAAGACAAACAGCCTAATGAGTGTGGAGGAAGCCTTCAGCACAGGGTCGCTTTCACAATGAACGCCGTGGAACAATGTCGACGGTGCCATTGAAGCTCCGAGAAAGAAGCATGAAATCATATTCTGCTCGGAGAGTAAGCAACACAATAGAAGCACGCCGACGCGCGTACATCCCTTCGATATGCACGATAGCGGGAGTAATGCTAATATATGGACTGTTGCATACATTACGGACTGTTGCATCCATTCATGTTACATTAATTATTGAAGTATACACGTTGCCGGGCTACTTACCAAACAAAGCTGTGCCAGCGGATGCAGTGTGTGTGTGTAGTTAAGAGAACGGTACACCTTCATTACAAGATGAACGCGTCGGCTACTCGGTTGTTCATACTCAACCTGGAAAAGCACGAAATGCGGGGTAGAATTAGTAAAAAAAAAAATAAGTACACACGAATCCCTGGCTAATAACTACGATTGGAACAAAGAATGACAAAGCGTTCGATACAAACGGTAAGTTGTACATTTTTCGTCTAGTTTCATGACTATACAGCTAGAACTTTACCCGCAACCCGGTTAAGAGTGTGTAGTTCAACATAAAAAAGAAAAACCAAGAATGCGAATATGTAAAGCCGGCCAACTTCACACGACAATATGCAATGGGTCGCCGATTCGTGAAGAGACCTGTCACACATCAATATGCACGAGTGCCACCGAACCATATATTCGCGTTCATCACGTTCCTTTTTGAGGCCGACTAAGCGTTCTAGAATATTTTGTTTTTTATCCGCTGTTTCTACAACCTCAATTGAAAGTAAGTGCTCTGCGTATATTTGTGTTTGCATATTCAGAGTCCACGTATGCCCTGGATGAATTTCGCTTCCGTCGAAATACGGCCGCCATGGCTGGGATCAAACCTGCGACCTTCGGCCCAGCCGCCGAGCACCGTTGTTGCTACACCACAGGGGCGGACGAAGATGGACAAGAGGATGATGATGATGAAACAGAGGGGGATGGTAAAGAAGAAGGTGAAGATGAAGATGAAGATGAAGATGAAGAAGATGATGAAGATGAAGAAGATGATGATGAAGAAGATGATGAAGATGAAGAAGATGATAATGATGAAGATGAAGATGAAGATGATGATAATGATGAAGATGATGATGATGAAGAAGATGATGATGATGAAGAAGATGATGATGATGAAGATGATGAAGATGATGAAGAAGATGATGAAGATGATGAAGATGATAATGATGAAGATGATGATGATGAAGAAGATGATGATGATGAAGAAGATGATGATGATGAAGATGATGAAGAAGATGATGAAGATGATGAAGATGATGATGAAGAAGATGAAGAAGATGAAGAAGATGATGAAGATGATGAAGATGATGATGATGAAGAAGATGATGATGATGAAGATGAAGATGATGATGAAGATGAAGAAGATGATGAAGATGAAGAAGATGATGAAGATGATGAAGATGATGAAGATGATGAAGAAGATGAAGAAGATGAAGAAGATGAAGAAGATGAAGAAGATGATGACGATGAAGAAGATGATGACGATGAAGTAGATGATGACGATGAAGTAGATGAAGAAGATGAAGTAGATGAAGAAGATGATGACGATGAAGAAGATGATGACGATGAAGTAGATGATGACGATGAAGTAGATGAAGAAGATGAAGAAGATGACGATGAAGAAGATGACGATGAAGAAGATGACGATGAAGAAGATGACGATGAAGAAGATGACGATGAAGAAGATGACGATGAAGAGGATGACGACGAAGGTGAAGGTGACGACGAAGGTGAAGGTGACGACGAAGGTGAAGGTGACGACGAAGGTGAAGGTGATGATGGTGAAGGTGATGATGGTGAAGGTGATGATGGTGAAGGTGATGATGGTGAAGGTGATGATGGTGAAGATGAAGAAGAAGATGAAGATGAAGAAAGTTAGGGTCGGCTTGCTTGAGCCAAGAGTCGACGTTGAAGCAAGAAAGCAAGTAGTGCTGATACAACAGGCAGATAAGTAACCTGCAGCACATTAGCGTTACACAAAATGGGTGGGATAACGGAGAAAGCAGAAATGTGATCGAACTCGGAAGCGCACTGGCATAAGATAGAATCGGTTGGCGCACTACATGATAATAGGAGACCGCTGGAGGACAACTCGGTCCTGCAAACAGACGCAACACAGAAAGGGACGGCGGGAAGGATGGTGACATTGACGAACCGTTTTATGAACGCGTTGACGCAATCTCTGACGTAATTGAAAGTGGCGGCAGTGTCACCAAGCGTCTCTTAGCTTGCACGCATATTCATATCATGTTAACAAGTTTCCTGTCACGATAGGTCGCCCACGTATAATATCACTGTAGAGGTTTGACCTATCAATCTATCTTTCTCCGTGATTTGCGTAATTTTCACCAGCGAGATGTGGTAATGCCCTGCCAGTTTGCCGCCTTCACACCACTGTGATCGCGCGCGTTTTCGATACGCTAAGCGCGTCCGCGAAAACGCCCGCATTACGTGTACACGTGGAGAATTGACGCACGACTATAGTACTACGCGCTCAAGCGAGCGCTTTGGACTATTCATCTACGTGTGTACACGCATGTGTTATCTGTTATGCCTGTATGTTACTGTACGTGCTGTGTGTTTATCATTGTATATATGGTCGTCCTCACCCGGCACCTGGAGTAGCCTGTCAGGTGAAAAAATAATAATTCTTTCTCTCTCACATGTGTTTTATCGGCTCAGGAAGAGCGGTGTGCTGACGACCGTTTCGTGACGTCGAACACATTAAACTTTGACGGCGTTGAACTTTGACGGCATCAGTAAGGCGTTCTCGCAACCAATGACTTCGAAACAGCCGCACCGTTCTGCTTCCCACGCTGAAACATAATTCCTTTAGCAACCTCGAAACGTAGCGGACGTATCCTGTCCCCCAATATGAGAGCAAGAAGGAATCTGCGATCTCCATACTAAAGACATATACTTTTTCGATATAACGCCTCTCTTTGTGAAATATACAAAGTGCACTTTGTCAAGGACACAGTGATAATCGTTGTGGTTTTACGTCCCGAAACCATGATATGGTCATTAGGGAGGCCACCGTTGAGATCTCCGGAAATTTCTACCACCTGGGGTTGTTTAACGCGCGCGTCTGAATCTAAGCGCGGGGGCCTCCATAGCATTTTGCTTCCATATAAATGCAACCGCCTTGGCGGGAATTCCGTCCCGCGACTTTGGGGTCAGCAGTAAAACACCGCAACAGTTACACCATGGTATACTCGTCAGAAAAAGGCAAGTATACTGGAAACCAAAACGCAGCGAACACGTTTTCTTGATTCATTGATATGTGGGGTTTAATGTCCCAAAACCACCGTATGATTATGAGAGACGCCGTAGTGGAGGGCTCCGGAAATTCCGACCACCTGCGGTTCTTTAACATGGACCCAAATCTGAGCACGCGGGCCTACAATATTTCCGTCTCCATCGAAAATGCAGCCGCCGTAGCCGGGATTCAATCCCACGACCTGCGGGTCAGCAGCCGAGTACCTTAGCCACTAGACCACCGCGGCGGGGAGACACGTTTTCTTGGCATCCGCTGTAGAGACAGTGTATCATCCTTCAATGGCCACGTAAGGGTGAATCCTATCTTTAACGACTAGCACGAAGACACCACGTACTTCATCTACACTTTGTAGCGGTCAGACTCATATAAACGACACCCCTTTACAGTACGCTGACAGTACGTTACACAGTGCGTTATATATCCGATATTGCACCTGGCACTGCGAACAGTATAACACGGGCGCTACTTTCTCATCTCTTCTCCTTCGTATATCGCTTTGTACGCTGTACAAACTGTGACGGCCAGCAACAAACGACGCGGTGATACAACGGGCAAAGAGGGAATCGGCGCCATTAGGTAACCTCACACATTCTCGTCTGCACTGTCGCCCATTCGCACAGCATTACCACGGTAGTTCCGCGGTCGCGCGGAAAAGGCGACCGCACTATAGATGCACCCAATTATCGTCGTCCTCGTTTCGTAACGCTATACACAGCGGCACAGGCGGTGGCGGCGTCGTTGTTCGGCCAAGGAGAAAAGACCACCGCGCGGCTGTGGGAACGGGCGATTCCACGGTTGATGGGGAAACGTTTCCTTTTTTTTTTCTGTCCTTGCGATAGGCGTGTATACAGAGACGCACCAGCGTGATCCTCTCGCCACGGCCAAACACTGATCCGCTAGTTTTTTTCTTTTTTTACGTAGTGATAGCACGTAGAACGGCGTGGAAATAATGATGAAGAAAGCCTCGTCTCGTCCTCTTGTTTGATGAACTCCCAGGGTTGTACTGTTATCGGAGTTCTCCCTAAGCGTGCTCGACTGCCCGGAGACGATTACATACCCGCGGTACGCGTAGTGGATGGAAACTCAGCGACAAACTGCGAATGACAAATAAAGAGAAGAAAAAGAAATAATTACAATGACGCCGGACTCGATACAGTGACACAAGTTGCTGTCGGTTTTCCCTGCTTGTTTAGGTACCATTGTACCGCTGTGCACTTGGCGCTGTGCGCCTTTCGAGTCGTTACACAGAACACCTATACACTGGTTGTTAGTCGCCGTTTGTGCTGCCCAATATATTCTGTTCCGTCTGTGTTTGCACACTAATGTTTTAGGGGTGAAGCTCCTTATAGCGGCACCCGTTCGTCCCTTGTAGTCGTAGTAGTAGTCGTAGTGTGTAACCAGTCTTAGATTGTGACCTCAAAGGTGGTGCCGGTGGGAGATTTTTTCTGTGCGTTGTTGAACAATAAAGAATTCGCAGCGTGCGCGCTAACTAAAAGCCGAATTCTCCTGTCTCTCATTCCCCCTTAGCAGCCATTGGCATGTACATTGAGCACTATCTGACAAGAAAGGGCTGCTACGTTATACTTGCTGGGCATAACCTCCTTGGTTTAAGAAATGTTTAGCGAGCGTTGGGCCGCAGTGCCATGAATACAGTGAACTAGTATATACCATGAACTCGAGGTGGTTAAAGGTGGGAAGTAAACCCGAAGCGCAAGACGTAAGAAAGTGTGCGTGTGCCACCTCTCGTGTAGTCCTTGGAATGTACGCTGGATGGCAGTGCATATGCGGAATATATGATGATGACGGACGCAGGGGTGGATGCATGGATGAACGCAGAGACGGACACACAGATGGACGTGCGGACGCACGAACAGACGCACGCACGGACAGGCGAATGGACGCACGGACGGTCACACAGATGTACGCATGGACGGACGGAAGCAAGAACGAATGGACGGACGGATGCTTCACCCCACTCTACATCATTCACTCCGTGGATATGCTGCCATTTTTTTTTTTCATCATGCACTTAACACGCTAGCCAATTGCGCAGTTTACCGGCGCAGCTATAGGCCACAAGTTCGGTTCCAATGCGATAGAAAAAAAGAAAAAAAGGAAAATACGACTCGCACTGTAAAGCGATTAGCCCCTTTCAAGCGATCTCAAGCAAGCAAAGCACCCTTTTGCCCCGTCATAGTTTGCGAAAATTGGAGTGTGAGGGTGTTTTACTTCTGCAAATGACCTCTAAAGGGTGATGTTTTAACTAAAACATCTTTAAGAGTTAAAGTTGTTATGGGTTGTCGAAACATCCGTGAATCCAATGACAGCATGCCAGATGATGAGGTACACTGCGGCTTGCTTTTGCTTGTCGTAACGTGGTTTTCGGCGTGTCGCTCGGTTTGCCACGCCTGAAACGCAGAGTGCTGCGCGTAGCACCGAAGCGCTGGCAGTTTCCGTGGCAACACGTAACTAATGTTACACATTCCAACTAAGAACAGCCAAAACTTCAAACGCAGTTGGCGTTGCATCAACGGGAAACTTCAGTTAAGAAGATAGGGAGTATAGTAATCGTCGGTGATTTTTTAAAAAGGAATCTGTCTGCTGGCCTAGTTCATGAGTAGTTAAGTACAAAATGTAGCCGGGATATAAAGACACGCCTACAGAAGGAGGAGCACAACAATATGACGACTTGGCCGTTTTCTTCTTCTGTTTCTCCCCGTGTGCGTGTTTGTTTACTTCGCGGCTAACTTCCGTGTTGAAGTACAACAGCAGTGCAGTATCAGCCAGCGTTACTGGGAAAAACCTTTACGGCAATGACCCTCATGTTGCACAATGACAGTAAATTTTCCACCTAATAAAGCCATCCGGAAGGCTTAGCGTCCCCCTTCTTCCGTTCCCGCCTCTGTGTGCGCGCACCCACGCATGCAATGTTGACGAAATAAAAGAGGGTAATGAACATTGGCAGTCATTTAGCCAAAAAGAAAGAACAGCGCTGAAAATTTGATGAACACGCAGGAAGATAGGCGACAACAGGCGCTGGCTTACAACTGATATTTATATTAGTATGTGCACACGTTTATACTATGGTAGTTAAAACTCGCGAGACGATCACCAACGTGCTGCTATCCCTCTGGCGTCAACATCACCGCACCACTATTTTGTGTCGCAAACATGCATGATTCATCTCAAAGATAAAAAGATGAATTTCTTTCTGAGAGATAATGACAGATGGCACAACAACACATTTATCTTTAAAGCGTACTATTTCGTCTGCTTCAATTGTTCCCCTTGTTTTTTTGTGTGTGTCTTTGTAACCTTAGCAAGGGTTTATTCATGCTTAGAAAACATCAGCCATTGATAACGGATGCTAATAAATACAATAGCTGAAATCGTGAGACTCGGTGAGGGTGGTAGAAGCAATAAAAGGCTTTGTATTTAAAGGTGTTGTTCATGTATTTACATCTTTAAAATTCTCAGATAACCATGACCACAGTAATCTGCTTAATATTTACGTAGCTTAGGTGCCAGTTTGGTGCGTATACAAAAACTGTGCACACCAGAGAGATTTTGCGCTTGTCCGCCTGTCGTCTTT